GAAATTTGTGTAGACATAACGTACAACAAATTTAATTCATATATCTGCATTATTTCAGAGGATACATTTTTACGGGGCTTTTAACAACCCTTACCTTGAAAACCGTTGACATTTCGAAGTATGTTTATAAGGCAAAGCGCAATTTTTCTTGATTATATCCGCCCTCAAATTTGATAAGACTAAAATTTGAACATCCTGTATATAACACCGACAACACTTAACGCTTCATCGTCCGTGTAACAGCCTTCTATTAAAAAAATTATCCATGTGAAAATTTAACTGTTATTAACTACATGATCTATGCAGTATAAAATATTATTTATGAACATTTAACATAATATGAGTGTCAAAATTATAAACGATTTGTCAAACGGCAGACGGTTACATTGTCAGAAACAGAAAAAGTGTGGACATAACTAGTTATTAGCGATTTCTACAAATCAGTTGCCAGTGGTCTTGTTTCAGTGAGGTTCAATGGTAAGGGGATTTGGTATTAATTGACAATAAATTAACTTCCAGGGAGTATACAAATATTTTGGAAAATCATTTATTGCCCTTGGTAGCTGCAAATGACGGACAACCTGTACAGTATGTTCAGGATAATTCTTCGGTACACACTGCAAGAATAGTTCAGGTGGTTCGACGAATATACGGAAATCGAAAGAATCGTCTTGGCTGCTAAGTCACGTGATTTGAACCCAATTGAAAACGTTTGGACTAAGACAACACGAGATTGGCCAAACAACCTCAATAATAGGGTCATGTTGAGGCAGATAACGATGACTGGAATAACGTCTTTGGTATCAGAACAGCAACAATCGAATGTTCCAGGAGGATTATAAATGTTCTTGGATGCACATTTTCTAAGAAAATTATGTAGTTAACATCCTGCTAACGATACGAAAATATACGGTACATAGCATACCAAAAACATTTTCAGATATTCTTCGAGTCCTGACAGAAACTATATTTTTTTGTAAATTTTAACACCCTCTATCTTGCATCCCCCAGGAAAAAAGTACAGCAGATGATATTCTAAAACCTAATGAAAGCAATTTTGATAATTTGACCAATGAAGAATTACTGTTATGACCGATGACGAAGCAATCGTAAGTCTTTATTCCAGTGCTTTACCCGAAATAAAAGATCGTTCTCAAAGAAAAACAGATTTAGAAGAAATGGGCGGAAAAGTAAATTTTCAAGTTTAAAGAATAATAATCTTTTAAAATTTAAAATTCTTGCTACAGCTCCTTCATCTTGGAGTGCAAGAAAAATTGCTAAGGAGTTCAATCCGTCAAGGTCAAAAATCTAAAAAACTAAAGTCCATCAATGGAGTGTTAGGAGGAACTATTGCGAAAAGAGGGAAAAATTTGCCACAGGAAACTGTTCCGTTTCTATAGTTGAAGAGTTGCACAACAATAACGACATGAATAGTTGAATGATGCCATTAATGAAAGATGTTTCCATAAAAAATGAGGCAAGAGATGAAAAACGTAAACGTTTATTTATTATTAAGTTTGAAAGAACTATACGCTTCTTTCAAAGAGACCCATCCAAATGACGATACATATTTCTTTTAGCAAATTTGGATCTTTGATGCCAAATTACTGCATTCTTCCCAGAGCATCTGGTACGCATTCTGTATGCGTCTGTACTATACATCAAATTGTGAAACTTATGTTAGATGCTGAAATTATTAAACAGTTAACAAAAAAGTACAGACTGTCCATTATCGGACTATACAGGGTGTCCCGAAATTAATGGGACACAGAGCAAGGGTAGATTCCTTACATCAAAATAATGCGATTAAGCCAAACTTACTTGGTCCATTTGTGGCTAATCAAAAAGTTACAGAGCGTTAAAGTTCAAATTTTGAATTCGAAATTCTTAAAATTGTTAGAAAGTTTTCAAAGGATTCTTTTCAAAATTTGGATTAGGGGGTTTTCTGGGACGAGAAAAATGAATCCGTACTTAATTTTGCAGTAGACGCTAGAGGGCGCTACGAAATGTACTCTTGGTTGATAAAAACTGCCCATAACTTTTTTATCAGTGTGTGTACGAAAGTTTTAATAGAAAACTATTATTCTCCTATCTATTTTTCACAAATAATTGATACTTGTTTTATGTCGATAAATTTAACCGTTTTCGATTTATTTCTTGTTTTTCTATTGGATGCAATAAAATAAAATAAGTTTGTAGTTACTTACGTAAAACTGTCATAGTAAGCTTTGGTTTTTTGAAAACAAATTGTACTATTGATAATTAGCTGATTGATTGATTGTTTACAATTAATAATATCGCGTGAAATATGCCTCGCCATAATTTATTTTCTAATGAAGGAATGCGATAAATGGTATGTGGTTCAAAAGAAAATTTGAATGGACGTCATACGTGTCGCAGGTATTTAGAAAGTTACCCAAATCGATTACAACCAAATCACAAATTATTTAAAAATCTTTATGACCGGTTAGGAGATACTGGATCTTTTCGTCCTAAAAGACGAGATGCTGGCCGTCCAACAACTGTTACTCCAGGACGAGGATATTTTGCTTCGTGTCCTGAAATAAGTTTACGACGAATGTCTGCGGCTGTAGTGGTACCTAAATCATCTATTCATAGATTATTTTATAATGAAAACTGTACCCGTATCACTTTAGCCCAGTGCACAATTTACTACCTGCAGATTTTCCAGATAGGGAATAATTTTGTCTTCGATTCTTAGACCGACACAGTGATGATCCACACTTTTTAAGCAAGGTGCTGTTTACAGACGAAGCCACATTTACTCGCCGGGGCGTTTTCAACTTCAGAAATAAACATGTTTGGGATAATGAAAACCCGCATGTATTAAGAGAACGTCATTTCCAACATGAATTTAAGATAAACATTTGGTGTGGTATTGTTGGAAATCATCTGTTGGGCCCTGTTGAATTGCCATATTATCTGAATGGCCGTTCTTACTTACATTTCTTAGAACATGATTTTGAGGAACTTATTGATGATTTACCATTAAATGTAAGACACAATATGTTTTTTATGCAAGACGGTGCCCCTGCCCATTTTTCTGTACAGGTGCGAAACTATCTTAACGCACAATTTCCCCAACGGTGGATAGATCGCGGCAGCACGTTTTCATGGCCCGCACGAAGCCCAGATTTAAACCTCATGGATTTCAGTATTTGGGGTATTTTGAAATCAAAAGTTTACAGTGACCCTATTAATACACGGGATGAGTTGTGGCAAGCAATTTTAAATGGTACGAATTTATTAAGAAATGAAGAAACACCATTTAATATTGGACAATCATTTATCAAACGAATAAGATTGTGTATTAATGTAAATGGGGGTCATATTGAGAATTTAATGTAATTAAATTATTATTAAAAATAATCTTTAGTTTTTTACGTAAGTAACTACAAACTTTTATTTTATTTTATTGCATCCAATAGAAAAACAAGAAATAAATCGAAAACGGTTAAATTTATCGACATAAAACAAGTATCCCTTATTTGTGAAAAATAGATAGGAGAACAATATTTTTCTATTAAAACTTTCGTACACACACTGATAAAAAAGTTATAACCAGTTTTTATCAACCAAGAGTACATTTCGTAGCGCCCTCTAGCGTCTACAGCAAAATTAAGTACGGATTCGTTTTTCTCGTCCCAGAAAACCCCCTAATCCAAATTTTCAAAAGAATCCTTTGAAAACTTTCTAAGAATTTTAAGAATTTCGAATTCAAAATTTCAACTTTAACGCCCTGTAACTTTTTTATTAGCCACAAATGGACCAAGGTAAGTTTGGCTTAATCGCATTATTTTGATGTAAGGAATCTACCCTTGCTCTGTGTCCCATTAATTTCGGGACACCCTGTATAAAAACAAACTACATAGTGCCACAAATAATTTTGACAATATCTAACAATTTTATATTTACATATTCGTATATATTTACATAAATGCAGTTTAAAATGTTTACGTTTCAAGTTTTTGACTAGTATTTTCTGGACAATTAAGATACTTCTCAAACTCATGAACTGTTCGTTCAAATCTATCTGTATAGATGGCGTGGCGATACTAAAAAATTGTTTGATGCCTGGAATGTGGAAATGCAGTCCATCGTTAAATTTTGAGTAATTTTTGTAATATAAAGTTTTTCCCACTATTTACTTGTTTTCACACATGTCGACTTCAATATGCAATGTATGATGTAACAGGAAAATCTATTATTTTATCTAAATCACACCGAGACAAAATATTCTTATAATGACTATTCACACCACATACAAACAATAAATTATAAAAAGACAAATGATCAACTACAGAAAAAAAAGTTGTAAAATGGTAAATCTTATAACTAGTATAGTTAAATTGAAAGACGCAAGCTGTAATTATTGGAAAACTAATATGTGCCATCTGTCATACATGTTTTATTTTAAACAAAGGACATGAGCCACATATGACTGCATTTTTTAATAACAATAATACGGTTCGTTTCTGCCCTCATAAGATTTACCATTGCACAGTTTTTTTTCTGTAGTTGATTATTCGTATTTTTTTAAATTTATTGTTTGTTAGTTAGTACGTGATGTGAATAAAGTCATTATAACAATATTTTAAAAGAATATAGATGTTTTTTTCAATCTTTCTATACAGAATGTTTCACAAATTCGACCCAGATTTGAATGTTGATGTAAAGGTGATGTTCATTTTGCTGATATGATGATGTACACCACGGTGATGTAGATGATGTGGATGTAGATTATGACGATGTAGATCATGGTGATGTAGATGATGGTGAAGTAGATTATGACGATGTAGATGATGGTAATGTAAATGATGGCGATGTAGGTGATGGCTATGTAGATGATGGTGATGTAGATGATGGCGATGTCGATGATGGTGATGTAGATGATGGCGATGTCGATGATGGTGATGTAGATATGGTGATGTAGATGATGGTGATGTAGGTGATGGTGATGCAGATGATGGATATATATGATGAATGTGGATGATGGTGATGTAGATGACGGCGATGAAGATGATGGTGATGCTAATGATGGCGATGTAAGTGATGGCAATGTAGGTGATGGTAATGTAGATAATGGCGACGTAGATAATGGTCATGTAGATGATGGTGATGCAGATGGTGGCGATGTAGATGACGGTGATGCAGACGACGGCGCTGTAGATGATGGCGATGTAGATGATGTTGATCTAGATGATGGCGATGTTGATGTAGATAATGGCGATGGAGATATAGATGATGGTGATGTAGATGATGGCGTTATAGATAATGTTGATCTAGATGATGGCGATGTAGATGATGTTGATGTAGATAATGGCGATGTAGATGATGTTGATGTAGATAATGGCGATGTAGATATAGATGATCGTGATGTAGATGATGGCGTTGTAGGTGTAGATGTTGATGTTGTAGATGATGGCAATGTAGATGATGGTGATGTAGATAATGGTGCTGTAGATGATGGTGCTGTAAATGACGGCGATGTAGATGATGACGATGTGTATGTTGCGATATAGATTATGGTGATGTAGATGAAGGTGATGTAAATGAGGGCGATGTAGATGATGGTGATGTAAATGATGGTGCTGCAGATTATGTTGATGTAGATGATGGTGATGTAGATGAAGGTGATGTAGATGATGACGATGTAGATGATGATGTAGATAATGGCGATATAGATGAAGATGATGGTGATGCAAATGATGGTGCTGTAGATTAAGGTGATGTAGATGCTGCTGCTGTAGATTAAGGTGATGTAGATGCTGCTGCTGTAGATTATGGTGATGTAGATGATGATGATGCAGATGATAGTGGTGTAGATGAAGGCGATGTAGATGCAGATGATGATGTAGATGATGGCGATGTAGATGATGTTGATGTAGATAATGGCGATGTAGATATAGATGATGGTGATGTAGATAATGGTGCTGTAGGTTATAGTGATGTAGATGATGGCGATGTAGATGTTGCGATATAGATTAAGGTGATGTAGATGATGGTGCTGTAAATGAGGGCGATGTAGATGATGACGATGTATATGTTAAGATATGGATTATGGTGATATAGATGATGGTGATGTAAATGAGGGCGGTGTAGATGATAGTGATGCAAATGATGGTGCTGCAGATTATAGTGATGTAGATGATAGTGATGTAGATGATGGTGATGTAAATGAGGGCGATGTAGATGAAGTGATGTAAATGATGGTGCTGCAGATTATGGTGATGTAGATGGTGATGTAGATAACGACGATGTATATGATGATGTAGATGATGGCGATATAGATGTAGATGATGGTGCTATAGATGATGCCGCTGTAGATGATGGCGATGTAAATGTAGATGATGATGTAGATGATGTTAATGTAGATAATGGCGATGTAGATGATGTTAATGTAGATAATGGCGATGTAGAAGATGGTGCTGTAAATGAGGGCGATGTAGATGATGACGATGTATATGTGGCGATATAGATTATGATGATGTAGATGATAGCGTTGTAGGTGTAGATGTTGATGTTGTAGATGATGGCGATGTAGATGATGTAGATAATGGTACTGTGGATTATAGTGATGTAGATGATGTTGATGTAGATGATGGCGATGTAGATGTAGATGATGTTGATGTAGATAATGGCGATGTAGATATAGATGATGGTGATGTAGATGTTGCGATATAAATTATAGTGATGTAGGTGCTGTAAATGAGGGCGATGTAGATGATGACGATGTATATGTTGCGATATAGATTATGGTGATGTAGATGATGGTGATGTAGATGATGTTGACGTAGATAATGGCGATGTAGATATAGATGATGGCGATGTAGATGATGCTGATGTAGATAATGGTGCTGTGGATTATAGTGATGCAGATGATGGCGATGTAGATGTAGATGATATTAATGTAGATGATGATGTAGATGATGGCGATGTAGATGTAGATAATGGCGATGTAGATGTAGATAATGGCGATGTAGATATAGATGATGATGTAGATGATGGCTTTGTAGGTGTAGATGTTGATGTTGTATATGATGGCGATATAGATTATGGTGATGTAGATGATGGTGCTGTAAATGAGGGCGATGTAGATGATGATGTATATGTTGCGATATAGATTATGGTGTTGTAGATAATGACGATGTATATGATGATGTAGATGATGGCGATATAGATGTAGATGATGGTGATATAGATGATGCCGCTGTAGATTTTGGTGATGTAGATGATAGTGATGTAGATGATGGCGATGTAAATGTAGATGATGTTGATGTAGATGATGGTGATGTAGATGATGTTAATGTAGATAATGGCGATGTAGATCTAGATGATGGTGATGTAGAAGATGGCGTTGTAGGTGTAAATGTCGATATTGTAGATGATGGTGATGTAGATGATGATGTAGATAATGGTGCTGTAAATTATAGCGATGTAGATGTTGCGATATAGATTAAGGTGATGTAGATGATGGTGCTGTAAATGAGGGCGATGTAGATGATGACATAGGCAAGGTAGGCAAGTCCGACGGACGGGACGGTTATGATCATCCGACCGAGTCCCGAACTCTACTTATCTGGCACAAATACAAACTTGTTATCTCAACATAAAAAATAAGTGGATTATTGGAGAAATGTACTTAAACGGATTGTTACAGTTGTAAAATTTTTGTCATCCAAGAGATTTCCTTTCGCGGTGACAAATTATTAGGGATGTGTGGAGTTGTTAAGTGGATTTGATCCATTTCTTGAAGATCACTTAAAAATCAACATTATGTTGGCGATACTTCAAGACCTTTATATGTTAAATTCAATTCAACAATTCAAAATTCTCTTTCACACACCCTCAATTCCCCCCTACCCCAAAATTAAAAAAATACAACTTTCGTAAGGGTGGCGATATATTCAGGTACGTAATTTAAATATTTTGTCCTTGAAATAACCTTCATTCCTATCTAAATGTAAAATATCGCGCTCTTTCCGAATCCGGAGTCAGAAATAGGTTTCTATTGAAAAATTTAAATTTGGCCTTCAAATGACCATGAAGGTCAAGGTCAAATCCAAGGTCATCATCCGAACCCAACAACTTTCGTAAAGATATTTTCGAATTGACGGTTTCCATGACGAGATATTCAGGTGCGTAATTTAAAATGAGACACCCTCAAGTGTTTCTAAGTCAAATGTAATTTTTTCCTGTTCTTCACATATAGCTAATACCGATTTAGTTTCTAAGGAAATTACTGGGGGAGAGCTATATTGACACACCATGTATATATTTTTTAATTAAGTAGGTATGTTTTTAAAAATAGAAGTAACTTTGTTTTATAGAAACACTATCATAATGTAAATAAAAACAAAAGAATAAGCTGTATGACGTGGTCTTTTGCTAGATTGAAAGTAACAAGCAATTCGACATTTATAGTCAAGAATATTTAATCTTTTTACGGCGAGTGGATAGTCTGTAAAAGGAACCTAAACGGCTTTTTAACTGTTTTTTTATTTTCCAAAAGAATATAGAGTTTTTAGGATTCAGTTTATACTATTACGTTATGGTATTCAATTTATGGTTGTTCCTATTCAATAAATCACAAATCCTCACAAACGAAAAGTAATACGCTGCATTAGTGATGACGTAGCGCCAGCCATTTTGTTCTGGTAGGTCACGGTTCGTTATCCAAACAAAGCGCGGTTAGCAAGGCAAATTTACAGAAAAGTGTTATTTTGACGTTATTTGAATATTTTAAGAGAAAAAAACATCTAAATTGGTAAGAGTGTAGTTAATTTAGCTTATAAATGCATTCATGCAAGACAAATGGGTAGTAATAACTGAAATATTAATACTATCTAAATTTGACATAACCTAGCTTTTGCATGCGTGTCCTTTATAATTATTATTAAAATATATTATTCCAATTATCCGAATTATTTTTTGTTTCTTTTTTTAGATTTTGATATAATGGGATCCAAACACGTGGTTTCGATGACGATGATCCATAATTTTTGCATCGATCCACCTACGATACAACCCGAACCTCAACCGGAAGCTTTCATCATACCAGAAATTGACTACATAATTTATTCAGTTTACTTTATTGAAGCAGAAGACAAAGCGCTGTTTGTATGTAATAGACTCGCCATTACTGAAAAGGTCAGGAATTCTATTACGCAGTCAACAATTGGGCAATCAAAGAATCCCAATTGGCTTGTGGCTCGCAAGTACCGCTTAACAGCCAGCCACTTCGGGGAAGTTTTGGCTGCCTGTAAGAGGGACCGATATCCTCCTTCACTATTCAAGAATCTTCTGGGTGATTACGATGTGACTGGAGTACAGGCAGTCCAGTGGGGGCTGCAGCACGAAGAATTAGGACTTGACGCTTTTACCTTAGCCATGGGTCTTCAAGTGGTACCAACAGGTTTGTGGATGGATATGTGCGGATTTTTGGGTGCTTCACCTGATGGCTTAGTTGGAGATAATGCAATTATAGAAGTGAAGTGCCCATTCAAGTATCGCAATATGTCTCTGAGCTCAGCCTTATGTGAAGATCACACATATATAATTTACAAGGACGAAAACAATGAAACTCAGATCAACAAAAACCACATATACTACCATCAAATCCAAGGGCAGCTGTACATTACCAGAAGAGAGCTATGTTATCTGGTAATCTGGACACCCGAGGAAGTGGAAATAATAGAAATATATAAGGAGCAGGATTGGGAAGAAAATTTAGAAATTTTAAAAAGTTTTTATTTAACTAAATTTATTTTTCATCTCTGTGGAAATCAATAATGTTAAAATATTTTATTTATGTACTGTATATATTATTCTGTTACATATTGTTTTATAATTACATGGAATCTTACATTATCGTATTAAATAAAAAGAAGGTTAATATAATATTCTGGTTTATAAATGTTTTTATTACTCGTCATCGGGTGCATAAAATTTTTCAACTTCTCTAATTACTGGAAATTGTAAATTTGTTAAGGCACCTATAACTTGCACTACAGCATCTGCATGTGGAATCAATGAGAATGGAAGAAATTTCAAGATTTTGTAGCATTTCATTCGAGGAATTGCACGTTCGACATGAATTCGTGCTCTTGCAATAGATTCTGTTTGTTGCACTTGAGTGGGAGTGAACGGGGGGTTGTTAGGAAAGGTGGCACATTTATGTGTACTCCAGGAGGTAAAATGTCTTTGAGCAAAAAACCTTTATCAGCCAAAATTAAGTCACCCTCTTTCAACTCATTTAAAACATTACTTTCCACTACAATCTTTTTGTCTGATGTCGAACCTGGATAGAGGTTGCTGACAAAAGTAATGACTCCATTGGGTGCAACCCCTATCAATGCTTTCCATGTATTACAGTGCTTATAACTGCTATAAGTCGCTCTTTGCGTTTCCATTGAAGATCTAGATGTAACTGTTGACATTTCCGTACAATCCAATATAATTCGACAGTTTGTGAAAGTACTGAAACAGGTAGGCAAGCATGTTTTGTTTTTGTTCCTGCTAGGTATCGAGCACATCAATTGTTTGAACAAAATTTCATGCAAGACATGAATCCAGGTCGTAATAACATTACTTACTGTAGCCTCTGAAATTTGAAATCTATGAGCAATATCACCATGTGGGAAGTTCTGTCTCAGTTTCATCAAACACATCAGTAATTGATCAATTCTATTAATTTTTTCAACTTTCCAGTTCATGTAGTAATTGATTTCAATATTTTCTATTAAATGATATAAGGCCATAAATATTGTTGTATTTGGCAGTCCTGTATATAATAATATCAAACTATCGTTACCCTTGATGTGATTAAATGAAAACCGAACTTTAAGATGTTCCAGCTCATGTTCCAAATCTTCGATTTTCTTTTTTAATAAGTAGTTTTCGGCTTCAACTACAACCGATGAGGAGGGATATACAGCTGCACTATCCTTGGAACATGACGGTTGTGGTTCTACTAAGGAGCCTGGTTGGGAAGGTCCTGGAAGATAGCTCGAGACACTGGTTCCGGTACTGCTGCTGGGATCATCCACAGCAATGCTGAAAGAAAATTTGTTATTATATTTGAAAATAAAACACGTTGAAATGTTAATAAAAGGGGCGATCAAAAACTCGATTTAATTACAGTCACACACAAACTTGATGAACCAAGTTTATTCACTTTGACAAATTTGTATAACGTTTGACATAAATATCACTCACATTTCCATTTCGGATGGTGCAGATGTCATATCAGGTTGAAAAAGACCTTCAAATCGACATTTTGCTGGTAGACCTTCCGGATGTTCCTCAAATACCACTTGGTGCTCTCTTCTTTTTCTCTTTTCAGGACTTGTATAAGTGAATTTCTTTGTCACATTGTGTAAGAAGATTTCAGGCCCATTTTCTCTCTTAGCGTCACGGAAATGACAACTGCATTAGAATGCACCAGGTCCAGGTTCCTCATTACGCCTATCATATTATACAATAGATTTATATAGAAAATTTAAACGGTTATTCAAAATTAAAAGATATATTTCATACCTACCTCACAAGTTTTTTCCATCGGTTTCGTTCCTTAGGGTCCTTCGGAAATTTAAAAAACTTTAAAGTTTCTCGTTCATTGTAGTGCTTGCAATCCGGAGCCCAGCACATAACCATGATGAATACAGGATTAATACTATTAACATCATTAAATAATAGCTATTTATGATATACGTGTTAAAAGCAAGATTTTATTTTGTGAGTGAACATAATTAAAAAACGAGCATAGCGAGTTTTTTAACTTCACGAACAAAATAAAATCACTTTTAAGACGTATATCATACACTATTTTTTCTACAAAACAATCGGAAGAACTTTAAACTTAATCAAGATAAGAACTCAAAAAATACCGCACAGATCGCAGTGTTTATGAACCAAAATTTTCGTAGCAACCAGTGCTGTTGTTAGTTACGGAAAAAACGCAAAAATATTGACAGCATTTTCTAGTAATATTATAAGTATAATGAATAATCTCGATAATGAGCGTAACGAATCCATCCCTGCTGAAATCGAAGAAGCCGCCAGTCGAGCAACATTGGAATTATTGCCGGCGAAATCAAAGGAACAGTACGAAATCGCTTATAGACGCTTTTCGGAATGGTGCAACATTAAAAAGGTCCCTGGGAAATGTAACGAAAGTGTTTTACTGGCATATTTTGAGGAAAAAGCCAAGATATGGAAATCGTCAACGCTGTGGTCAAATTATTCCATGATCAAAACTATGTTAAAAATAAAGCAAGATCAAGATATAAGCAAACATTATAAACTTATTGCTTTTTTAAAACGGAAGGGTGAAGGATATCAAGCAAAAAAGTCAAAAGTTTTGACGAAGACGCATATCGACAAATTTCTCACAGAAGCAGAAGACGAAAAGTATCTGATGATGAAAGTCGCAGCAATAGTGGGTGTCTTCGGGGCGTGTCGCCGGGAGGAATTGTGTCAGATGACCATCGACAATATCGAATATTTGGGCACTTCGGTTGTTGTGACCATACCAGATACTAAAACGAAAGTGCCTCGGACTTTCAGTGTTGTTGGTGAATTCTATTTAAACTTTTTTAGAAAGTATATGGCACTCCGGCCACCCAACGCTGACCATAGACGACTTTTTCTTAAATATATGAAGAATAAATGTGTGAAGAATCCAGTCGGAATTAACATGTTTGGTAAAATGCCTGCCGACATTGCAGAGTTCTTGAATCTACCAAATCCTCAACTCTACACCGGACACTGTTTTCGTCGTTCATCGGCGACATTGTTAGCAGATTCTGGTGCAAATCTTACTACCATCAAGAGACATGGAGGATGGAAATCTTCGACGGTAGCTGAAGGCTACATTGAAAATTCACTGGAACAGAAGAAGGAAATTGCGTGCCAAATACTTCCTACTGCTGCAACTACTAGCAAGACCACCAGTACTACCAGTAGTATTTCTACAGAAAATAGATGTGTCACACATGTTGACAGTAAAACCAACTTAAGTATGATGACTCCGCAGGGAATTACAATTTCAAATTGTTCTAATTTTACTATAAATGTTAATAGTAATAACTAGTTAAAATGTTGGTTTGTACTTATTTAAAATAAAAAGTTGTTCATGTGTTTGTTAAAACGTTTTATTAATTTTCAAAACAAAATTTAAATAAACTTTGATTTACTTTTAACACTAGTGTTAAAAGTAACTTACTTTTAACACGCGTGTCAAAAAATGACATTTTTAACATCAAAAATGACAATTAAAAAGCCCACTTTTAACAGTTTTGTAGAAAAAATA